CCGGTGAGAGAGAACAAAGCCAATAGTTGTGGAACTCCAGTAAGTAAGGCTGTCAAGGCTATTTTATTCACTTAAAGGTCACATATTTTACACCTTTCTGGAGTTTTATTTTAAGTCTTGATGTCCTTAAGAATATATATGTGCGGTATAAGTACCAAAAAAAATTTTTTACAACTATTTTTACAGCTCTCACTCTCACACTTGTACAAATGTGGATGGGTGACATGAATGGAAATGATTCCAGATTGGCAATGTAGTATTTGGTTTCTGTATTCTATACTGTATTTTCCTGCGCTCAAACCTGCCAATCTAAAGGATCAAACGCTGTGTATGGCGTTTGAGGTAATTTGTGAATTACCTCTAAATATATAGTCTAAATAAAACAATTTGCAACTGTTACTATTATTACAAAACTTGTTTACAAAACTTTGTATTATGCTTGTTATAGAGTGTGTGACGTCACGTGCACTACCGCCGGTGGCAATAGACAGCGGTTGACGCGTTGTCACGGCGACCGTCACAGCCCTACTGTGCAATGATGTAGTTTCCTGACATCCAGACGAACAGCGTTTTCTCGACATGTTTCCGTGTTGTTGTTGCTCAGCAATGGCATGGAGGCGAATCACGCGATGTTGCCTGGGGGTTTGGCAAAAGGAGAGTTGGGACTGTGGGCAGTGCTCGGGGTGGTGACTGAAGTAGTTCTGACGTCACCTTTTTACGGGAGTCACAACGGTTCGTGAAAAATCACAGCTACTTTATGCAGGCTGTGTGCATTTGACTGTGGATTGACTGTTTTGAAACTTATTTGGTAGTTACAAAGCACCTAGACCTCAGTTATCATGAAAAAAGCCAGGAAATTTCAGTTTTGACAATATGGGACCTTTAAACATCGGATGTAGTGATTATTTTCTCTTTAATACAGAGATGATGCCAATGTATTTTTCAATGAGTCGCTATGTTAGCAATAATAACGTTACCTGCTTGACAGAATGGGTTGCCAGGTTTTCACAACAAAACCCACTAAATTGCTACTCAAAACTAGCCCAAATTAACCGCGTTTCGAGGGGGTCCCCCGGTAAAAAAACACGTTCCGGGGGCTAAAATACACGTTATCGGGGTCGCTTCAACCCGCGGCAACAGTGATAAAGTAGCCCAATTCCATGGGAAAACCGTGGACTTGGCAACACTGTGACGCATAGTAATAATGTTTAACGGACGCGATCGCTGTCGCGGCGCAACAACAACAGCTTGAAGTTGTCTAATTTGGCATGGTCTCCCTGCTGCACTAATAGTAGTAGGCTTTCCTCTGTATATATGTTTATTGTCCCCTCCAACTGTTAGATGAAATTTACACCCCTTGGCGGGGCTAAACAGGCAGTGCGGAGGCGTGTTTAGCCACACTATAACGTCAGAAAGTGGCACATTCCACAACCTGTCGTTTTGGCAGATTGGCTTCAATATAAGCTGTTTTTAGACTAACAAGAAAGTTTTGAGGTCTGAAATGTACAGGATGTTTTAATAGTACAGTGACCTCTTATATGTCAAAAGATCAAGGGAATTTTGATTTGTCAGTTCATGACCCCTTTAAATCATAGTTCATAGTACAAGGCCTCAGCAGCCCCTCATGAATCACGCTGATGGATCTCTCTCTCTCTTGCTCTCTCTCGCTCCATGTTTTTGCATTCCAGAATTCTCAGTCTCTGCGTATACAGTTACTGTAGAAACCGGCACGCCGGTCCAATGAGAGATTCCAGATGGAGAATTCCAAACAACCTGGTACAGAGTCAAGGCATTGCCGGGAACGGAGCGCATCATATTCACACAAAAGCCGCACATCTTTGTTTAAGGCGATGCTGCAGATGACGGGAGGATTCATTAACAGCTGAGAAATTTCTCTTTCTCGTTAAGATGTACAATTACTGTCTAATTGAGGCTGGCAAAGCATAAATAAACTCCGAGGTCACATTTGCTACTCCAATTTGCCTGCAGACGGATCTCGATCTTGACCGATTTCACAAATTTGATTTCACGTTTCACGCTTGTTTTCTTCTCCAGCTGGCAGACAATTGGCTGGTCAGGAACAGAATTGTGTGATTTCAGGGCTCATTTCCCAGACAATTCCTAAAAGAGATTTTAAAAACAGCTTGGGAAACACTTTGCATTTAACAAAACACCAACCCTTACTAACAGATATGGGCTGCAGCAGGAGAATCATTTTATTCCACAAAGGTCATGCTCAAAGGTATATATATATACTACAATTGTATATTTAAATTTTTTATATATATATATATATATATATACTACAGTTGTTTATTTAAATTTTTAAAGCTATAATATACTATAATAAAATATAATTGTAATATAATAATTATAATAATATAACAGTTTCAACTGTTGAAACAGCTTTATATATTAAAGGGGTCCTATTATGCTCTTTTACAAAGTCTTGATTTTGTTTTGGGGGTGTACTAGAACAGGCTCTCATACTAGGTTGTTCGAAAAACACATTATTTTTCACATATTTTACATTATTACAACACCTCTCTCCCCAGTCTGGCATGAACGGCTCGAATAGTTCCTGTATCAAATGAAAGCCCGCCTTCTGAAATACGAAATGTGCTGTGATTGGTTAGCTGGGCCAGTGTGTGTTGTGATTGGCACAATCGGATGATTGTAACCACTCTGTCTGCCTTGGGAAAGCTAGCGTGTATCTGACACAGTGATAACACTCGCTTCCTTCTCTAGTGCAGCACAACCAGGTCTCGTCCCATTCGTCGATCTTTGTGATATCACAAATCCCGGAAAATATGCATTGTAGTCCAAACGAGTCGTTCGTTGTAGTTTTTGAAAAGTGATTTCTGTTAAATAAAATATCTCCTTTTGAAGGAGATATAAAATAAAGTTACTTTGTAACTTTGCAGATCTTTTTTATGCTCAAACAGCAACATTACAGACTAACTAAAGTTGAAAAAGTGAAAAAGCATAATAGGACCCCTTTAACATAATGCATAATCATATGAGATACGTTTGATCAAAACAGTGTTTTACAAATAGATACCAGTGAAGGTCAGTTCTGAGATCCTTGCATGTGCCATCACGACACTGAAATAAAATGATTGGATGTGACTTTGCAAGGTTAAGATTTTTATTTATTTTTTTTTACACTGCTCTCTTGCTGGCATCTATATTGTTTATGTTGCTGTATTGCTATACTTTCAGAAAAAAGCATGCATTTTAATGAGTATTCATTGGCCCTGTTTACTTTAAGATTAAGTCTTTAACTGTGCTGTTGATTATTCTGCATTTACAAGTTGGAAAATCATATGTAAATACAATTCATTATACCTTATAAATTAGCATCTGTCAAGCAAAATTGTTACTTTATTTTGCATTCCATAGATGTGCAGTGAGCAACAGTCAGTCATAACAAGCCACAGCGATATTCATGCATCCTCTCGTACCCAACTCTCCCACCCCCTTCTCTTTCACACACACTCACTCGACCCCAGTCACCCGCGAACCCCGTGACGGCCAACTGCTTGCCCTTCTCACTCACTCCTCTCTTCCTGCACAAGCTTTCCATCCCTCTCTCATTCCTCTGGTTTGGGTTACCACCTCGCTGGGCTCTGACCGGCTTCACTGGACGCTTCAGCCGAGGCCTGGCGTGACACACTGTATTCTGGATTTTTTCATGACTTTCCATACTCCTCATCCATTCCAGGTGTGAAATGGCAGAGTTTTCCTATTAACTGATTGTGTACAAACAAAAGCTGTCATTACATTCAAGTAAGGATTTAGTCATGTTGTTTTGCACTTCAGCACAATTGTTTACTTTCTTAATGCTGGTTTCTGGTTTTATTGTGAACTGTTAATGGTGCATATTATTCCAAAGAAAAATATTTGTTTTCCGAAACATCTTTCCTTTTCAGTTGACTATTGGATAATGTTGACCAAAAGACTTTTATGCATTATTTTAGGCAAATCACTTTCACGTCTGGCCCCAATCATGTTACGCCCACACACACACACATATACAGT